TGCCTCAACATTAATAAGATTCCTAATGTTCTTTTTCCATTCAAACTCTACATTCTACATTTCCTTCTGCCTCGCTTGCTTTTTTTCATTGTACATCTCCGGAATATTCACCATTAATAACCACACCACTGATTCTATATTAGGCTGTCTTGAAATTTCTTCTACCAATAAAATTAGTCCATTACTTTACATCATAGCTTCAACAAGCTATTAAGCTATGAGCAGAGAGCAGTCAGATGTTTTGACAAAATATTTGTATGGTTATTTATGTCCTTATTTCCCTGTAGAACAATTGTGCTCTCAGCACTACTTTCTTTCAGGATCTAACTAGAATGCTCCCCCACAATTAAGCTCTGTTTACAGCATTCAAACTGTTTTCTAGTTCAAACTTTCAAAGTTTTCCACATTTCTCCACAAACCCAACAAGGTCAGGTTCTTCACAACACCACCCTACTCTCAGTACCAACTTCTATATTCATTATTTTTCTGTTGCTGTAATAAAAACATAATGACCAAGGCAACTTACAGAAGGAAGGGTGTATTTGCTTCAGAGTTCCAAAGCATGAGAATCCATATTTCCATATTGGTGAGGGAGGCATGGCAGGAGAAGATGGCCAGAAGGCGCAGTGAACTCTCAAAGCTCACCACCAGACACATGGTTCTTCCAACATGGTCAAACCTCTTAAATGTTTCATGACCCACTGCAAACAGCACTACGACTGGGGACCAACTGTCCAAATCATTGCAGCCAGTGGGGGATATTCTCAATCAATCCACCGCAGGGTAGGATCATTTCATGGACTGGGGTCTTGAACTAAGTAGAAAGGAGGAAAGAAGAAAACCAGCTGAGAACAAACATTTCTTTCTCTTTGTGTGGTATACTGAGATGCAAGCAAGCTGCTCTCTGCCAGGCCTGCCACCACAGTCTCCTGTTATGCTTTCCCTCCCATAGTGGAGAGCACTTCCTCACGCTTTCTGTCAAAATGTGCTTTTCTCCCTGAGGTAGCTTCTTGTTAGGCATTCAGCTGAAGCTGTGAGAAAACTATTCCTAAGTATCCTTTATTATAAACCTACAGATAATATTTGTCATTCATGCAGAAGTTTGTTTAATCTGGAAGAACAATTCTTTTGTGGCATAATTTCCATTTTAGTACATTATTATAAAATTCAATAGTTTCCAGCAGAAATGTTCTGCTAAGTATCCATTATATGGTTTATTTATGATAAGATTTCTGGAAAGAAGTGGTATAGTTTTCCAAATAAGTTCATTAGGTAAGAATTCCCCACTATCTCTGCACTAGATGCACTTTCCCAGATATCTGCCTTCCCATGTAGAGTTTAAAAATCGGTTACAACTTTTTCATTCATTTTCTTTCCACTAGCCAATTACCCAGGAAAAGCTGAATTCTTGAGTATAGATTACATGGATTCATGTGGGGGGGGGTAGACTGATAATCTGAGAAAAATCACTGCTCTGTTCCATACTTGCTGAGGACACCCTGAATCCATCATGGGATGACATTTAATGCTTATCACAATAACCTTTCTAAGTGCTCATAAAAACCTCTAAAACAAAAGGGCCACAATACCCACATGGTTATACATAAGCTCAAAACATTGATTCCTATTGTGTGAATGTTTCTTGTCATGGGTGAGCATGTTGCAGTAAGGTGTTAGTCTTGTGGGTGTGCATTTCCTCACCTAGTGTAATATCGAGGAGACTTCCTCCTGGTTTTATTGTGTTAGTTTCAACATGTCAGTTTTCATAATTAAGTCCCTGATATATTTTAAATATATTTATAAATATATCGGAAGTTGGGGCTGGAGAGAGGGTTCAGCAGTTAAGAGCACTGACTGCTCTTGCAGAGGACCTGGGTTCCAGTCCCAGCACCCACATGGCACTTAGAACTTCAGTTCCAGGATCCAACACTCTCTTTTGACCTCCACAAGCTTCTGCAGGCACGTGGTATGCAAACATATTCTCATCACATACAGGCAGGCAATACACTCAAACACATAAAATAAAGACAATAAATAAAATATTAAAATATATATATATATGTAGTTCCAGACACATTTTTTTTTCTTGAACAGATGGATATCAAATTATCCTTGTATCATTTTTTACACCTTTTATTAAGATAATTTAACACAGGTGCAAAGACTGATTTCTATCTTCTCTTCTTAATTGCCCTGTGTGTTATTTTTTTGTGACATTGGAATGCTTTTCTCATTGCCTAGTTTCAAACCTGAAGAATTATCATACAATGCTCCTGAATTTTTCTCCTTTACTACATCTACTCCTTTGTTCTTACATTTAAATACAAAATTCAGAGCTCTTTTCTATTTCTATAAAAATATCATCCATATTTCAATATCATTCATGTTGAATCTATGGGTGCTTTGGTTAGTACAGAATTTTTGTAATATGAATAATCTGATCATTGAACATGGGATATCTTCTTGTATGTTTGTATCATCAATGTAGTTTATTGATACCTAATAGTGTAGGCAACTTTGATGTCTAGGAATACATTTATTCATAGATACCTTGTAGCTGTAATTATGAGTTGAACTGATTAATTGATTCAACTTGATAAAATGCTATATGATATATAGATATTTTAATATTATTTTTAAGTTTATAGTGTATCATAAATTTTATGGAATTCAATAATCAATTCTTATAGATTTTTGGTGTAGTCATTAGGATTTGCTATATGTAAAATCAAGTGACATAAATGAGGGACAACTTTATTGCATGTTTTATAATTTCGATTTCCTTTATTTTATTGTCTCATCTATTCCTCTAATATTTTCAGTATTGCTTTTAGTATAAGCGATGAAATAATATTCTTCCCTGTACATATATATATACAAAGCTATTATGTGTATGAGTGTATTGGCTCTAGGTATGTAAGTGCACTTATTTTGTGAATTGCCTATGAATTTCAGAAGAGGGCATCAGATCCCCTGGAGCCGGAATTATGAATGTTTGTTAGTTGCCATGTGAGTACTGGCAATTGAACCCAGGTCCTCTGCAAGAGAAGCGAGTGCTCTTATCCATTGAGCCATCTCTCCAGACCAGTGTTACTAGATCTTGTTGGAAAACTTTTCATATTTTCCCCATTCAGTCCAATGTTGGCTATGTCTTTGTTATGTATAGCCTTTATTCTTTTGGGTAACCAAATTTTATATCATATATTTAATAACTCCACCATGAAGGTTTGTTAAATTTGCTGAATGTACTTTCCTCATCTATTGAAATTATTATTTTTGGTCCATTCTGTTAATGAGATGTATTCTATTCAATGATTGCAAGGTAGAAACATCTAAGTTTTGCTAGTATTTTTTTGCTAAGCCTACATCTACAATGTGTGGTTATATTCACAATTTGGTAAGGTAGTTTTGGTTTCAAAACAATTCTGGTTTAATATATTAGATTTAAAGTAAGTACTTGTTCTCCAATTTTTTAAAGAAATTTGAAAGCATTCTTTCTCCTTTCCTTTATTAATACCTTGTAGAACTCAGCAGTGGATACATGAGGTTTTTTTTTTTTTTATTCTTGGTGAGACACTTTGGAATAGTAATTCAACTTCTGTAGCAGCTATTTATCAGTTTAGATTTTTCAATTTCTTCTTGATTAGGTTTTGATCAATAGTATATGCCAACATTTCTCAGATTCTTGAAATTTTCCAATTTGTTAACACATAGTGCTCAACAGTATCTCATAGCCCTTTATCTAACAATGCCAGTAAAACCCTATCACTTACAATATTTCATCTCTCCGTTCTGTTTTTTTGTATTTAATTGATTCAAGAATTTCATACAATGAATTTGATTATATTCAGAACTACTTCCCCACCCCACACTCACTCTACTGCCCCTAACCTTCCCACCAGGAACTTCATGTCTTCTATTAGCAAATGAAAAATCTCCATCCATCCTACATAACACCTTTAAGTTGGGTTCTCATTAAAATGTCAGTAATCTTTAATTATTACAGATATGTGCCAAAGTAAGGGTCCACTCACTTTGTATACGGTTTGTGTTCAGAAAGCCGAGATTCTTGCAATGGGTGATTTTTCACTCTTAATTTGTCTGTCTTACACACAATTTAGGATTGTCAAGTAGGGATTTCTCTTTTTCTCAATAGTCAGAAACACTTGTGTTTTTCTCATAAAGTTAATTGTTCTCAGTCCTAGCATCCAGTTCACTCTGCACAATGACCTCATTGTGGACTAAGGTATTTCCAACAGGTTGATTCCCCACAGAATTTTACTATGGCTAAAAACAGAACCTATGTCCTCACAGCAGGCAGCAATTAGTTCACAGGCCTCCAATTCTAGATTCTCTGAGTGGTAGTTAAGAAGTTTCACAGCTTCCCATGACAGCTTTACACCAGTGTCCTCTAGTTTATTTTCTGAAATGTGTAGACTTTTCAGGTTCCTGATGTTGCTGAGAACTATAACCAGGTCTTGACAGCCACTGGGAGATGATGATGGTCAGCTGACCATGGGTGTCACTGGGGCACATGGGTCTGCAGGTCAGCTTGGCTCTACTATAATGGTGTGTATGGGCAGCCAGGCAATCACAGCTCTACCATCTTGGCTCTCCAGTTACTTTCCCTTTTATTTACCAAGTTTTGGGTTCAGAATTTTGAGACCAATATTAAAGCATAAAATTATTAATGAAATGAAGACTCAGAGTCATGTTTCAAATCCTTCTACCAAGAGTCACCATCACAGCTATTGCTCTGACTGCCTCAGCATCTTGGCCTTCCAGTTGTTTTCTTTCTTACTTGCCAAGTACTGAGTTCAGAATTGTGAGATCACTATAGAAGTGCCTACTGTCACTTATGTGAAAACATTCCTAATGTGTTCCATTACACACTTTCAGTCTCCTGCATGTTGGCTCATCCCGGGCCCCAGGCTGACCAATGTAATGCCTCATTCATACCCCATCTTTTTTTTCAACACTATCACTTTGAGTTGTCTTGCCATATTCCTGCTTTTATATATCTAAACTCACCCTGAACAATGAGTTCTGGGTTGCAAAAGTGGACTTATTTTTGCACCTGTCTTTTATGCCTTTGTCTACTGGTTGGACAAACATGCACAGACACACAGACACACAGACACACAGACACACAGACACACACACACACACACACACACACACACACACCACTTTTACCTTTGAAATGTAATTTTTTAAAAATCTTCTCTAGGAATTTTGTAGCTTATAGCAGAGAGATGCCACCACAGTTTGCTTGAACAAAGATAGGTAGACCTTTGGCTTTGCTTAAAGCAGTGTGAGTGAGATCTCAAAACATAAGCTTAACTTTGCTCACAAGGTTATGTAAGATTCCTATTTGTGACTGAAGGCATTCTCAGAGGAGTCATTTCCACATCTCCCCCTTATTTGTCTTACAAAAGAAGCATGTCAATCATGGTGGTTGCTGTTAGTAGACTGGATTAGGGTAAAGTGTGCTGTAGAAGCTGCATAAGTAGGTTCTCCAGAAAAGGTGGCACAGGCAGGATAGCACTGGGAGGAAAAGGGAAACCAACAAACCTGAGATTCAAGATGAGGCCCTATGTTTGTTGCCGGATTGTTGTCTTTTGTGCCACCTTGTTGAGAGCTATTAGTATAAGCACAGCCATTATGTACACTAAGCTGTGGCATGCTTGCTTGTTTACTTTATGATATTCCACCTTGACTCAAGAGTTTGTGTGTTTTGCACACAAGTACTGAATTGTTCTGCCAAGTCAGGAAGAATGTGTTGATAATTTTGGGAAGATAGTTAAATGGTTGTATTCACAAGTATTTGACCGCTGCTTGACCCTCAGATAGAGGTGGGAAAAAAGAGCTGCTACAGCTAATTCAGCTAAGCAAACTGTGGCTATCTGATGTTCTACTGTATAAGAAGGCTGAGCTAAAATAAACTGGGGCTACAGTCTCTACTGACAGTCCTCCCAAGTATCTTTCTCTGTCTATTGTTTTTCTTTCATCCTCCCTCCCCCTTTTAGGTGCTTTCATCTTGGCCAGCTGGCTCCAGCACCACCTCATAGTACAGCTTTATCAGTTGTGTTGGCATCCAGATAGGGCCTGTAGAAGAAAGCACAAATGCAGAATCTCAACTCCAAGTGATGAGAGGAACATGATCTCACATCAGTTTCCCCCTTGAGGGAGTTTATATAAAACCACGGTTTTGGTAAATCTTATTTCTTATGATGCTTTTTTTACAAAAGTTACAGAATAAAATTGAGAGGAACAAATTAAAATTTTTAATGTCTAAATTGTTTTATCAAGTTATTCTTCAAACTATAAGTAGCTTAAGGGAATTTTTCTTGAACAGTTACTCCATTAATCCCCCTTTTTTGTCTATGTATTTGATCATAGAAGAATTCACGAGTTAATTTAATTATGGCTTATCCTTGGGGGCTATTGGAATTCCATAAGAGACATGGACATCTGAAAGTTTGAAAAAAGAGATAAAGAGGTTAGAGAGATGAATTAGTGGTAAAGAACACTGGCTATTCTTTCAGAAGTCCTGGGTTCAAATCCCAGCACCCACATAGTGGATAACAACTATCCATAATGCCATTTCCATCTAATGCCCTTTTCTGTCCTCCATGGGCACTGCACAACATGGGTGCACTTACACATATGCAGGTATAATGCTCATACACATAAAATAAAAATCCATTTTTTTTTATAAAAGAAAAGAGATCATTGTTGGTTTCTATTTGTTTTGGAACCCCCACTGCAGAGAAAACATTTAATAAATGACTACAGACAACTCCAGCAGAGTCATGTCTTTGAGCAGTGGTGAAGATAAAGCCTGAAAAAGTATCAACACAAATGTAGATAAATTTTAAATTATCAAAGGAATTTAGATCAATTTTCCAATATTCATTTGAGTAAAGATTATTGGTGTTGAGTCCTCTTAAGTTAGAATGGGACTACTCAGTGTCTGGACAGGACTGAATAATTTGTTGGCCACGTATTTATGATAACCAAAATACACATAATTTATTAGTCACCATGATAATTTTCTTCTGTGGGGGAGCCAGGTAATTCTGTATGGAATTGAATGTCCTGAATAAAAACAGGCTGTTATTTGTGAAAGAGACTTTGAATAGATGTTAATATTGATAAGCAAATAGAGTCTGAGGTATGAGCCAAGATGACCTTAAACTCAGTAGAATGGCTTAAGCCATATAGTAAGATTCAGTTGGTAATGCATTGCATGAAAAGTAGAAAGGAAAATTAAAAGTTCTGTTTGATGTGTGGTGTTTGCTGCAGGGGTTCCAGAGAGTGCTATATTCCTTTATTGTCACACCATGATTTCTTTGTAAGGTTCATTTTCTCTGTCTTAAAAAATATTATCTAGGGTGTAGGAGCTGAGAACTCAGGAGACCGCCTGAGAGTGCCTGATCTGGCCTCCTCCACCAGGTGTAGGAACACAGACTTCAGCAGAGGGCACATGGATCCACCCCTGACATGGTGGTGGGCTGTTTCACCAAATGTTTTCCTTTTCCTCCCTTCTTGGACCCTCTGAGGACCCAGGGCTAACCAACTGACATAAGACATCCTATTTGAATTTTGCATAATTTATATGACATTGGGGTAGGGGGTGACTTACAAAAACACAAATTTTTATAAGCTTTTCCTTTTCCATATTTGAAATGCATGCACCATCCATCTCCCAACACTCTCAGTCTCACTCGCTCCCAGTGCCCAATATGCTGGTAGCTCCACCCCTTAATGGGCTTGACCCCTTCCACAGAACTTGCGAAGGAGGTGGGACCATGGCTTATCAGAGGAACATCTGGGTCACATGGGCTATCCCAAATCTTTCCCAAATTGTGCCATAACCAACCCCTAACTGGGATTATGTGAAGTCCCTCCCATGGCACAAAGGGTAGAACTACCCTACTGTAGGGCTGAGAACTCAACAATCAGCCTGAGAGTGCCTGATTTGGCCTCCACTGGGTGTAGGAGTTGAGACCACCTGAGAGTACCAAAATCAGACTTCTCATTAGCGAACTTCCCAAATTGTGCTATGAGTACCTGCTGGTAGGGGTCCAAACATCGGAAGGAAGCATGAGTGTACCTAACTGGAGCCTGACTTGGGTCTCTGTGGGCGCTCCTGAGTAGCTCTGATCCAAAACCATCAGTTCTTTCCAAAATAAAAGCTAAGAGAACATAAAACCTAGATGAACCAGCTTTACCTACTTAGTAAAAAACAACGAAGCACACCAATAACACAAACAGAAGCGGACTTCAAATCAACAAAGGAAGGCTTGAATTTCACACCACAATCACAAATAACAAAAGAAATCCACATGCTAAAATCACAGCAGAAAGATAATAATAGGGAAAGCCAGAACACCATGTTTCCACCAATATCCACCAGTATTGTAGAAGAGTTCTGCAAGGAGAACCCCTAGAGAAAACCCAGGACACAGAATTTAAAAGAACGATCATGAACACAATCATGGAATTCAATAAATTTAAAGAACACACAGACAAATCAAAAAACTGAAAGAAGATAGGGATAAACATCTGACTGAATTCATAAAAGATAGAAAAATTGAAGAAAATTCAGGCTGAAAAGAACAAGGAAGTGAAAAACTCAATAAACCAATTTGAAACAGCAGGGGAAAATCTCTCTGCGGGAATGAATGAAAATAGATAACACAATATCAATGCTGGAGGATAAAGTTGAAGAACTGGATGGCTCAAGCAAAGATAGTGAAAATTTTTTTTTTTAAATACCACAGGAATGGAATAGTCAGGAAATGTGGGATATCATGAAAAGACCAAATCAGCATAGAGGAACAAGAAGAATTTCGGGTTAACGGTATTGATCAGATCTTAAACAGGTTTATAGAAAAGAATGACCCAATATTAAAGAATGATATCCCATGCAAATACAAGAATCACATAGAACACCAAATAAAACCATAAAAGAAACTCCCCTTGGCATATCATAGTAAAAACACTAAATGTACAGAACAAAGACAGAATACCAAAAGCTGCAAAAGTAAAACAACTCACACATAAAGGAAACCCCATCAGAATTACAGACAACTTATGAATGCAATCTGTGAAAGTCAGACTAGCCTGGACTAAGGTATTTCCTGTTTTAAATGACCATAGATTCTAACCTAGAATACTTTGCCCAGCAAAAAAATATCTGTTGACATGGGAAGAAAAATCATCCATGACACAAATAGGCTGAAAGAACACATGTCCACAATATCTACCCTTCAAAGAATACTTGAAGCAATACAAAAAATGGAGAAAGGATACTGCACCCCAGGGGAAACAGAAAGAAACTAAGTCAAGGTATAATTGTGGAAACAAAAAATTAGACAAAGAAGGAAAACAGTGGTCAAAATAATGGCAACCAATTCACATATTTCAATTATACCTTTAAATATCAATGGACTGAACTCCTCAGGCAAAAGACACAGGCTAGTTGAAAGGATTAAAAAAATAAAATCCATTTATTTTTGTCTGCAAGAAACCCATCTCATGTTCAAGGACAGGTACTACCTTAGGGTGAAAGGATGGAAAAGAATATTTCAAGCAAGTGGCACTAAAAAATAAGCAGGGGTTGCAATTCTAATATGTGACAAAATAGATTTTAAACTAAACCTAATCAGAAGCTGTAAAGAGGGTCACTTCATTCTGATCAAAGGAGCAATTAACCAAGAAGATATTACAATCATGAACATATATGCACCAAACTCTGGTGAACCCAAATTCATAAAAAGAGCAGTACAGGACTTTAAGAAACAGATTAACTCCAACTCAGTAAGAGAAGGGGACTTCAATAACCCACTGTCTCCATCAGACAGGGCAACTAGACAAAGAATAAACAGAGAGATGTATGATTAAATGATAATATACATCAAATGGACTTAACAGACATCTATTGAATATTCCACCCAAGCACCAAAGAATACACTTTCTATTCAGCACCCCATGGAACTTTCTCAAAAATTGATCAAGTATTGGGGTACAAAATAAAGCTCAACAAATACAAAAAATTTCAATAATTCCATACATTATATCAGACCATAATTCAATGAAGCTTAAAATCAAAACTGGA